AAACAGGCTGAAAATTTGTAAGTTTGAAAAATTAAAGTTGTGTGATCATCTCTGTCCATGAGTTCTAGGTGCATTACGTAGAAGAGTAAGTCAAATACTGTCCTGGTTTCGGCTGGGATAGAGTATAACAAATATAAAAATATAAAAACCTATATAAATATAAAAACCTAGGAAGTACAGTCTGGGAATAGAACAAGAGCCAGAAATACGGAAAGCAGAAAAACCTCAAGTGGACCTAGAGGATAAATTCTGCAGAACTAACAGAAGGTCAGCAAAGCCGTGCTTCAGCCTTGTATATTCAGGAACAAATTCGGTGTTTTGTGGTGGAAATGGTGGATAAATACCATTCCGATACGTGACATTTGCACACAGTAAGCCTAAAAATAATTAATACTAATCTACAGTGAGCAGGAACCCCAACTCTACACTTCAGGCCTTTTTATTGTGTGCTCTACTGTGAAGAACTCTGCACCCCCCACGTCTCTTTCTCCTTCCCCATGTGAAACAAATACTGTAATGCAATCCACACTTCCCTAGGAGAAAAACATCTTTCTTAGAGTAATCTTTACTTCTATAAAAGTAGTTCATTTCGAGGTGTACTACAGCATCCCCAAATGGTGGACAGGCTTGATGTTTTCCTCATATGCAACTTCAGGAAGTACAAGTAGAGAATTCTCGCATACATTTCACAGAGGACACACAGGAAAAAAAGATCAAGTCTGCTTGGAAGCGGAAAGCATAGCAGTGCCACACTCATATGCCAAGTCTTACACAGGGTCTTTGATTTTTGGGGCCTTTGCAGTAAAATCAAAGCACGAGCCTTGCTGCTGGCAGAAGTGCTCTGCCAATTGTTTGCCCTCCAGAGCTTCCATTAGTTTCTTCACTTCTTTCTGAATGTTCACTGAAGAAAAAAAGCCAATTACACTATCAGCCAGAGATTAAAAGAGGTGCCACAGGGTTGGGAGAAGAACAGAAATTTTATTAAACCCTTTGGAGTTCTACAATCATGTTTGTACAAAACTGCCTGAAGACCTAGTGCAAGGAAAGTCTGCAGGAATTACATTTTCTTCACAGTAGATATAGCTGCACAGCAAAAATTTAATTATGAGAATTCTGCGCTTAAAACAAGCTTAATCCCTATGCCACAGTATGCATGCAAAAAAGTGGAATTACAAGTGACTATAACCAATCATAGTCATGAATTAAATACTCTCACACACAGGAGATTTAAACAACAATGTGCAAGGTAAGATCTTGAATTTAAATTAAATCACTATAATCACACTGTGCCACATCACATGGGTAACAGGTACTTACCCACCTAATCTGAGGATGAAACGTGTATCAAATTTTTAGTAAGATAATTTCTTAAAAATACATACATGGAATGAAACAGAAAGCTGCAGAAACCCTTAGGGGGAATAATTTCACATGAAGAGCCCCATTGGGTAAACCAGCCAGAAAAAAATATTTACAAAATTGATTTTATAAGCTATTCTGAGAAAGGGACAGAACGGACCAAACTTGATTTCAAAATAAGGCCTTTTGCCTCTTAAAACAATTGGACTTAAACAGTGGCTAAACTTGGCTGTATTCACACAGAAACATATTGCAATTCTGCCCCATGAATTTCTGACACGCTACAATACGCTGTACACAGCAACAGGTACACAGGTTACATTCATCTTTGGAACGGAATTAAGAGAATGAAAGCCTGCTCATCATCTTAAGCTTAAATGACTGACATGTAAATAATTTAAGTAATATCATTTCTACCAAGTGTAGTTGAACAGTAGGTGAAATGAAAAGTAAAAAAAAAAATTTCAAATGAAAACCCAAAAATTACATTCACAAAAAGAAGTTGTAGCAGAAAATACTTTAATTTGCATTTCATAGATTCAAACATAGGAAAGATTCAGAGGTGTTTAGATCTCAGTAAGCAGTTCCAACACTGATTTTTATTTTAATAAATATTACATTTTAATAGGCTAGCTATATGTAAGAATTGTAAAGTGATGAATTGCTGATTGCTACTTTATAAACGTAAGCATCTAGATTATTTACAACATATTACAGGTCATTTCCCAGAAAAGCACAAAGCAAGGTCAGATAAAGGCAACCCAACCATCAAAACACAACTCAAGAAAGTGTGGCACAGTGTATTTCATGCACATACAATGACATACAGCACAAATCACCAGCTGAAATAGGAAAACACTTGTTAGTCCAGCTTACGTGAGTCTCTATGTTTTACTGTTTTAAATCCATATTCTCACCTTCCTCCTCAGGCACTGAAGAGCAAGTTGTTCAGCAACAGCGCCCTACATTTTACCTATGCAGCTTGTACCAAGTCTTCGTGACTTGGGAAAAATGAAACATTTTTGTCTTTGTCTTCTCGCTACCTCTGGGATTACAATCATTGTGTCATTTGTACAACGAAACGTACTTTTACTCTGAAATGAATGGCAGACAATGTTAACAAGCTGATCTCCAACGGGGAGATGGAATTTAAAATAGTTCACAGGTCATGGACAGTGTCACTAACCTTATTCTTTAGTACAAAAACAGATCTGTAAATTTCTAAAATTTAATTTAACATATAAAGAAGTCATCCAACTTACATGGCAAAACTTCATAGGCAGCATAGTCACAGAATGTACATCAAATACAGTAAAAAAGATGGTGACAGGAAAATTGTTTCAACTAGATTTGTAACAGGAAAAAGCTTACGTCCTATTTCTCCAATGACAGTGAAGTGGAATGCCTTCCGTATTTGATCACCAAGCGAGATGTACCTTCAAATGCAACAGAACTTCCCCGCACACAGAATTTGCTGTTCAGTTGCATTCCTGTGTTTTCATGACACCAAGGAAAAGCAGAAAAGCTTCCCGTCTCTTTACATCCTTACCCAACGGTATGAACCTTGCCTGCATCATGTCAAGGAGGGTTGCAAGTAGCAGGCGTTCAAGATCTGCACGCCTGAATCTCTCGCCTGTCCCATGAGCAAGTGCACGATGCTGGTATGTGATGCTGCTTCAGTGTCCGTAGATTTTAGCAGGCACAGGTGGAAAAAAAGAAAATTAGCAAGTTGCATCCCCAGAAGAAGGTTGGAAGCGATTCACTTTCCCATAAAGCAAGAGGAAAAAGGGAAGAAACAATTCTGAGACTCAGATCCTTCCTGGGGCAGCACAGACAACACAATTTATTTTCAACTAGAAAATCCTGCCTAAAGCTTTAGGCACTAGAATATATAATACAGATAAATCCCAGGTATACAGCATTCTTCACACAAGTGAGCCTACAGGTCCTAGCCCTTGCAGGTCAATCCAAAAGGCAAAGAATTAATGGCCAACAGAAAAACACACACTTTCAATATATACAATTACTCAGGAGAGTTAGATACTCAGGGTGTAAGTCATTTACTAAACACAGCTGTTCGTATCTGAGCTAGTTACCTAGATTCCCACTTCAATTTAATGGAGAAAAATAAAACTCTAGGGTGCAAATCACTGCATCCTGGAGTATTTCAGAGAGAGATCGGAATAGGCTGGATTAAACCACCTAGAAATCACCTGCCCTTCTCCATTAACTAGAAAAAGGAAGCCGGTGGTGACTTGCTCAGACATGGGTGCCCACAGGCAAGAGAGGCTGCTGGATAAGAACGTAACATTCCCAGACTGGCATCAGCTTTCTCTGAAACCATGTTAAATTAGCTACTGGCTTAAACAGGGACTTCCGACTGGATACCAGTTTGCCAATTAGCTTATCTTGAGTTTGACTCAAGAGGGTTTACTTTCTTGAGAAACAGTATTTTTTATAACAGCAAGTGTCAGCAGGTTAGTCTATCTCATTTCCAGTCAGGTAGAAATTTGAGGCTAGTCTGGAAACAAAGGACATAGAGCATATTCCAGCTTTCAGAAAATCTCAGCTGTAAAGGACCACGTTATGGAAGCCGATACAGTTACAATCAATTATATAAACAGGTCACTAAATGTCTGGCAGGGTGAAAAATGTTTAAGAGCACTTTATTTTGTGAAGACTTATTTTTAAAAACAAGAGATGTATCTACACTGTACCAGCACTTCCTACATTCATAACTCCTAACTTCACTTTGAAACATGCTGGTTTAAAAAAAATTATTACTTCATTTTAAATTTAAACCAATATTTGGTTGCTACTATCAGTAGTGCCGTTTCTGAATTCTGTTTTGGACAATGGTAAGTTATCATTGACATTTGTGGACGATGATACATGAGTAATTTCTTATTTTATGAAAGTTGTGTTATTAACATACCCGTTTTTTCATGGTGAATATCCTTTTAGAGAAGATACAGTTAGGGATTGCATAGATAGAATATGTGGTATTAAACATCAGTGTGATTATGAATTTTAAAAAGCATCTTTTTTTAAAAGTGACTACAAAAACAAGTTCTTACTTTTTGCACTGACCTTTTAACATAGCACTGAACCATAGCCCATAATAAAGAGCAAATCTATTTCCACGGCTCAAAGATTGAGGTGTGCTATTTTAACTTTTTACACATTAAAAAGACAATTTCTGGAAACTGAACTTGTGATTACAATCTAGAAAATAAAATGGGATAGATGTGAATTTGATTGACTGAGGCTTTTCAGCTAGCAGCACTCCACTAACCATCTCCCCCTGCGCTGATCCCTGCCCCCAAGCAAATAGAGGTAGCCAAGGGGCTGCAGGAAAGTCACTTCCAACTGTGCTGCATCAGAGACATGGCAGTTATTTTAAAGAAAGAAGAAAATTCTGAAAAGCAGCACATAAGGAAAAAAATGTTGATCTCAGCATAATGCAAAGGAGGTCAGTACAAAATACAGTTTTCTGCTCAGTAAATTTCCTATTTTTAAGTAAGTTTCATTATTACAGCAAGAAGTCAGAACTCAAAAAGAGCCTTACTTCCTTTTCTGTTTGGGTTTTGTTTGTTTGTTTGTTTGGGGTTTGTTTTGTTTTGGGGTGGGTTTTTTTTTTGTTTTGGGTTTTTTTTCCTCCTTTTAGACAGCCAGAATCAGTATACCCAATCCTCAGAATATACTGAAGCTCAGTACTGGGGAGAGAGGAGAGGTGAACCACCCCTCTCGGGACAGGCCAAGTCAGGGTGGAGGTACATACATTTTCATATAAAACAATTGTCTCAGACAGACAAGGAAATAAAGAAAATTCATGAAGTTTCAGTACAACAGAACTGTGAGCAGAGAACTTAAGAAATAAACAGATCGGCATAATTTACACATTTAAAAACTATGTATTTTATTCATAAATATCTTTTCTAATTAATAACCATTCCCAGTTTAAACATAAATATTCAAGTTGGTATTTGATTTTACTTTTTTCAGTTCATGTGAGTCCTGTAAGGATCAGTTCCTTCTGCTCAATGCAGTCACGTAAATGGTCTTCACTAATGGGTTGTGCAAAGGCCTTCATTACCTAGTTTGTTGTAATAAAACTTTAAAATTCTGCAACTCTCTTATACTTGTGGAAAGCCTGTAAAACAAAAACCCCTGAAGTGTTAGTAAGTCAACTGCGAAAGAGAAGTGCAAATCATCCTCTTCCATCTTTTTGTTTGTTTTTTGTCCCGAACACAATTCTGTTCCAAAGGGGAACACTTAAGATACTACTTTCCCTCAAAAGATCTACTATCTGACTCTCCATTATAGTTGTATAATATATGACAGGGATAAAACTTTAGAATCATAGAATCGTTTAGGTTGGAAAAGATCTTTAAGATCATCCAGTCCAACCATTAACCTAACATTACCAAGTCAATATCGTAAGTTTTTCAAGTTTATGTGTATGTTTAATTGTCCCAACTTCATTAAACATCTAAAAATCTAACCAGAGGTAATAATGTTTATTAAATTCTTTTAAACAGGAACAGATTGTTATATTCAAGATCCAAAGAACTAGCATGATGAACAAAGCAAGTTCTACACATCTTTTGAAGCTGTTAAAATGTTCTTTTTCATCACTTCAATGGGGTCAACTTTCAAAAAATTAATCAAAACTAAACTTTTAATGAAAATAATCACATCATACACAAAAATCCAAAAACTTAAGGGCTAAATAACAGTTAGCATTAAAAAAGTCTCCAAGTATTTTTCTTCCTTTTCACTACTTCTTGCATACACACATTTAAAACAGAAATACAAAATCTAGAACAGCTGTAGTCAGTGTTCAAAAAGGAGGAGACATACTCAAAGTCTAATGCTTACGACTGTTTAAGAGACTTAAATCCATCTTTCACAAGGTGGAATTTATGAGATTTGAGATAAAGAGGTGAACTGGATCCAAACACAGAATGATGACCAAGCTCAATAATCAACACTCCACATACTGAGTATGATGGCATTGTTTATCAATATCACTAAGAGTAATTCAACCTTTAAAAAGCTACAGCTACATGTACAATACCATGTTTCCACAGACCTTGAGTGCTGACACTGAAGTTTTATGTGTTTTCTACTATACAAATGATAAAAACTTACCTTCCAAAGGCATTTACAAGAGCAACTATTTCTTGACGTGTGAGTTGAAAACCTTTTGATGGGCTGTTTTCAGGAAGGCTCTGTATTTCTTTCTCAGAAAACAAGATCTTCAGAGCAGTTCCTAAGCCTTGAGTCTACAAAAACAAAGTCCAATGTTTTAACATCAACAAGATCACTCCTTTGAAGGCTCAGAAAACCGTAAAAAAGTTAAAAAATTACTAATCCAGGCAAACTGTAGTACCAATTCTTATATATTGACACTCCCTCAACCCAAATAACTGCACACAAACCAGGACACTAATGCAAATGCATGCCATCAATTGTGAACTGGGTTCAGTCACTTATTTAAGAACACTTGTTTCCTCAGGTATATTTGCTCTTCATCCTCGTGTTTTTAATCTCTTGCTTTCCCATCTCTTTTCTTCTCAGCCACAGCAGATGCATATGAAAATGCGCCTCTTGCAACACTTCCAGCTCCCTCCCACCCCTTACCTTACAGATGCCCCACTGCTGTAGGAGCTGTTGGATCAGATCTCCCCTTTTCCTCTCCCCTCCCCCTTCAAAGTCAAACTAGGCTTTATTATGAGGTATCACAACACTTCTGTTTTTTCCACCTCCAGCCCCAGTGGCAGACATTGCAGTTTCAGTTTCAACCCCTATTTTTTTTCTACACAGAAACAGAACAGAAGCAGCTATTCTTATTTCCCTTTTTAATCGGGCTACAGAAACAACCACTGGATTTTGACAAAAAGTGGCTGAGGCTAGCTGCAAGAGAATTTTATAGGTCAGGAAATCTGGCCCTATTTCATTTTGTGTGAGAAGGAAAAAACAATAATAGATCAGAAGCATTAACTAGGACAGGGTAGGCAGAACTCCAGAAATTCAGCAGACACCACCAAATTTTTAATGTTATACATTTCTTTGAAAACTGAGTTCTGATAAGCTTCATGCTATAGAGCAGGACAGTACAGTAAGCACCCCAAAGCAAAAACTCTTCTCAGTCTGGACTTAAGATTAGTCTTGAGGTTTAAAATCTTGTTCTCAACAAAATAAAAACAGTGTGTCCAGAAACTAAAATTGTTTTTCAACTTCCAGCTTTACTGTGCACCATTGCATTCATTTGTTGCCTTCTGCATAAATTGTGAAAATCTGAATTACTTCTTTTCCTTATGGCTCAGTTTGTGGACTTAAATCTCATGCTGGCTTTTCTAACAATTAAGCAAGTGTTGTATTTCCAGGAAGGCTTCCCATAGGTGATTCTAAAAGGCTCATCTGATCACTGAATACAGATACGAGACTGACTGCCAGTAAGACTTTGCCATGAAACATCTGTTTTAAATACATTTTTTTTTTGAGAATACAAACTGTACCTTTAGTAAACTAAACAGCTCTTGACTAAGCAAAATAAACATTTTTTTAACAATTACTGTTTTTAAAGTGTTTAACAGTGAGCTAAACATGTCTATTTTTAATATATTGGTAAGGATATCAAAAGACCAGCCATGTGCAGAAAGTCTGAATGCTAAGGTAAGAGGCATCCTGCCAAACTGAAATAGATGCTTATCTTCTAACCTCCACCTCCACCACGCCTATACACATAAAATAAACTGTACCTGCAGTTTACCCCACAGCCTGCATTTGTCACATCCAACACAATCCATTATGCGGGATATGTTCTTGAAATGCAATCTGAATTCTTCCTAGCAGTTAAAAACAAAATAAAAAAGGTTAACTTAAAGTACCTCCTAGCTTTACAAAAACAGAAGGTTAACTAATCTAGTTCCACTAAAATATCAATTCTCTGTTACTAAAACTGAACAAAACCACTACGTTATGTGGTCAGGCCATAACAAAGGTCCACGTTAACCCAGAATCTTGTTTCCAAGCCACTGCTAACAGTTAGTTCCTCAAAAAACCCCGCAAGATACAAGACATGCAAGGTAATGCTTGGATTCTGTACGTTGAGTTTCTACCAACTTTCTCAAAATTTTCTAAGCTGCAAGTCCTGTATCTGTGTCCCTGCCCAATTTTTCTTCTATTATTCAAATCCCTTTTGAATCAACCTACCTTTTCAAAAACCAGGCAAACAAGTTACAATTCACAAAAGACATTTCGGGTCCAAAGCTATGGGTAGATGGTTGCTTTGCAGTTTCAGTCAGAGTGGAAGCAAGCACAGCACAGAACTAATTAAGATGATCTCAATTAAATATTTAAGGTCAGAAAAACACTAGCTGGGCTGATAAACTACTGGCACCTTTCTAATAGCATTCTTTCTAATGTTGATGAAATTCTATACTACTGCTGAAATAACCATTAAAAGTGTTAATAAGTGTTAAAACAGACCTTTACTACTGAGCCGCACTCCAACTGTGGAATTGTAGTGCGTACCAATCTGAACGCCAGCATGTTAACGCTGGACGTTGCTAGGTAGTAACAGCATTCACATTACGTTCCCATGTCTAGGAACTATGCTATTCTAATGTTAAGTATAATATGATATGTTATTAGGCGTCTGTTTTTTAAGCAAACATCACTTTTTTTTTTTTTCAGATACTTATGTGAAACAGACACCCTATTTAAAACACAGCATTGCATCTACTGGTAATACCAATTCAACTCATCTGCCTCACCACAGTCCTGATGGCAGACCCAAGGCACTAAACCAGAGATTTCAGTCTGCTTGGTTCAGGACAACACCTTGTATTCATCTACTATAAAGTAGATTAAAAGGCCTCAGATACAATTCTGTAAGTTTTTATCCCTGCCTTTTCTACTCGCAGCAGTATGCTTCTCATAGGCAGAGAGGTTTTCTAAAATAACACAACTTAATTTCAAAATGGATATTCTGGATGCCGTTCAGAAAACTAGCTTTACCTTTAATGACTTGGCTCCTTTTTTATCTCCAGCAAACATGGACTTTTCATCAAAGTGCATATGGAAGGACCTAATAAAGACAAAATGCAAAAAAAACCAAATGCTGGCATTAACTACAGTGCTCCATCAAGCTTGGTGTGCAGCTAGTACCACCAGTGTAAAATACTTTTCAGAGTTTCTAGTCTTTGCAGAATAGCTCTTAAATTTACTGAATGGTATCAGTTTTACTATTCAATCACTGTAACTTGAAATCCCTTATTTACAGTTTTGTTGAAAATTTTCTTCACTCCATTTCCACTGATCAAGATTTCTTTCTAATACACACTGAAGCTGTTTTCATGTTTGCCTTTCAGTTGATCATTGTCTGACCACATCTCAAAGACCTAGCAAGATTATGATTAGGGACAGCAATGAAGCCACACAGCACTTTAGCAATCACAAAAATTAGCGAGAAGGTGAGCAAAGGAACTAAAGAACCTTACAGAATAAACAGAAGGAAGAAGGGATGGCTAAAATCCCAGAGGTTAAGTCTATGATAAAAGCTGGATCACTCACTGGATCATTAAAAGACTATATGTGTTATTTTCCTTTTCAGAATAAATCATGTGCATCTTACACTGAAGAATCAGAAAAAGCAACAAATAGGGAGTAACCCAGTGTGTTGTGTGGGGGTTTGTTTTTTTTGTTTGGTTGGTTTTTTTCAAGATTGGTATATTCAAACCTCAAAAATATTAATCTCTTCCCGTCAAATGTACAAATTCCTCTTGTTCTCTCCCATTACTTAATTTTGTTTTTTCATTCCATTCTCCTCCTTGTCCTCTCCTATCAAGAAGTCACCTTTTCTCACTTGCAAATATAACTGAGAATTTCAAACTATTGATAAAAAAACCCACTATGCCTTACTTTGTATCCCTGAAGATATCTAGTAAGAGAGCTTTAGATTCAGCATCCTCATGGCCATTTCCAGTGTAAAGGTCAACAACTGAACGCTCAAAGTATGGTGCAACCTTTGACAAAGCACGCAGCTCTATCAAATATAAGAAATACAAATTTTTGAGCCTTCTTGGTCCTTCTCCTTTTGTTTCAATAGGGTCAAAGCGGCGAGTGAACTCTTTCACATTCGGTCCCCAGCGAGGCTTCCCCCAGGTTTCTACACAGAGAAAAAAAGGGTAGGAGTAAAGCATACGTATTTAGAAAAAGAAAGCAACTAAGTATACATGAAAAATTTTCATAAAAACCCAAATACATGTTACAGATATTGTAGAATTCCATTCAGCAATTTTACCTAGACTTAAATTACCTTCAAGAAGATAATTTGCACACAGATGCAAGTTGATGCTAGCATGGAGTCCAGAAATGAGTTTATAAAACACTCTTTTCTCAAGGCAAAGACCTGTCCAGGAAAAACGACAGGAAAAAAGAACAGTAGTTCAGCATTGTTAACAAGCCCGTATATCCATCATAGGAGAAGTTTATCTCTTATTTTTTATATAAAGAAGTACTAAGAGTGATGTTTGACATTTCTTACTTGGTATTTTACTGTTCTAATAAATAGGCAAATAAGTGTCTGGTCAATTAATACAGAAAAACTGCCACACAAAAATAAAAGATGCTTACATTGTTTGAGCAAGAAATTTCAAATAGTCTTGAATTTTGACAGGCTGGAAACCGGAACTATACTGTGATCCATCCTAATTAGAATTAAAGCTACCACTGAATTAGAGTAGTGACCTTACAGAAAAACATCAAAACCCCCAGAAAACCTTATGGCATCGGGAAGCAGCAAAAATATTTCTTCCCAGCTCTACTGTAAATTCACTGAAGATTTAAATGCACAGAGCAAAACCTTGAAAAATGTGACACTGATGGATACAGACTTCTACAGCATAAACAGAAACGCAATGGCACTGGGCGGCCAAAATATAATTTAAATGCAGAAATTACTTACAATACCACTTAGACCCAGAGACAGACACTACGCTTGGAATGTAGGAGTTTGTTCCTTTCTCAAAGATATATTTGGGTGATTTCCTGCCACTCCAATCTCCACAAGTGGAAGCAGGAAAAGCTGATGGTGAAGCCTATCTATGAGGCTGAGATACGGCTTCATTTACAGACACCGCATTTTAAAAAGCGTGTAAATTTGTATGCTTTCCTACAATAGCACCAGTTAGAGATTTCCAACTAGACAACTAAAGGCTTATGAAAGGCAGAATGAACTAAATTTAAAATTAAGTACATTTAACTCATTTACTTCTCTGTACACCTCCAAAATGCAATTTTGATTGCTACCACTCTAATAATAATTTCCACTTAAATATGAATAAAAAGCAAATTGCTTTGCCTTCTGAATACACATTATACTTATGTTAGTTTATATACTGGGAACAGAACCATAAGAAACTTTAATGTTTTTTAAAGCTGTTTTCAAATAAAAACGCTTAGCAATGTTACTAATAATAATGTCCCTGCTTAAATACCTAAAATGAGCAGAAAATTCCAGGTAACTGGTATTGAAGTGAACTCCCTCTTTATAAAAAATAAAACACTGAAGGGTTTAAGGAGTATACAATCTAAGTGAATGAGAAAATTTCCAAAGACCCTCAAGGAAAAAAAAATATTCTTTGAATGACACACAGAAGTTCTGCACAATTTATTAAAAAGCCTACACTGTGAAAAACATTTGGGGAGATAAAAAAAACCCCAAAACTACAGTGTTTCTTCCAGTGAATTTAACATTTTATTAACCCATCCAAGAGCCTTTACCTTCTAGCCATGTGTAGAAAGATTCTCCTGTAAAAACAAAGTATATAGTTAAATGAAGACTATTCATTTTCAACATTACAGTATCTTTATATTACTATTCATACTAACATTAGTTGCCATCTGGACATAAAGCTAAATAATTTAGCTGTTAAAGTGAGAATAGGCACTGAAGTGGCTGGACTTTGAGGTTACTTTAGATCTGTTGGGGTCATAACAGGAGAAATACAAGAATGAGCATGACTAAGCTACTGGTCAGGGCATTCAGCAGTGCATGGAAGCGTGAGCCTGATTATATGCACTAGTGGTGAAAGATGCGACAAAAGAGTGTAATTGTAGCTGACAGCCTTTACCTTGACTGCTGACTGTCTGAAAGTTTCCAGTAGGCTTAGATCTTTTGCCTGAGAATTTTCAGTTGGCTGAAAAAATCTTAAAGTCTGTCTCACTGTAGACAGACCAAATGATTTTCCTCCCCACCTTCCCAAAATCAAGGCCATTCAAGAAAGTACACAAAAAAACATCCCTCTTCTTTTAAGGGATCTGACATCAGTATCAATGGGCTCTGGAGGAGACCCAGGAATCCTTTAATTTATGCATCTCGAGTTATCTCACTAATAACATTATCACAACACATATTCTCTTACAAGGATAAGAACCAACAACAGAACCATGTTTTGGTCTTACCCACTCCTTCCCCCTACACCAAATGAAAGAATTATCCCAATTAAAACATTTTCTGATCAATCATCTGCATAAAAACATAACTTTCCTCCCCTCTAATGCAATACCTATAAAGTGAATAAATTAGATGTCCAAAACTCTTTAACGCTTACTTCATTTCTGCAAGTCAAGCAAAATGACTTACCATCATCTCCTCCTTAGGGGGGGAAAAAAAAAAAATCCATAAGCATTAAAAAGATAATTTCCACAGCAAAATAGTAATGAAACACATGCTTTACTACAAACACTGAAAAAGTGCAAGAAACCTTATTTAATCTACAAAAAAAATAAGCTACTCTTCCTCCTCCTCAAGACCACCTGAGACTAAATATATTATAATAATGGAAGTCACTAAGATTTGAAATCTTAGTAGCAGCTGATTTACATATTCTTGAAAGCCATGTTTTAGCTTCAGAAAGATGGTTAGGAAGTTGTCATCTTCAGTTCACATTGTTCAACAATCTGACCAGTGCTCCTTTCTGAAATTCTGATCCCCCAAGTTAAACTGCTCTTACAATTCTTCTTATTTGTGTATACCAGCAATATATTAGCTCAACATTTATAATTACTATCTTGATTTTCTAATGTGTGGTGATGTTTCCTAACTCAATCTATTGGCTAATAGTTAATTTTTAAGGGAAATGAGACACACTGACAGGGGAAAGCTGATTCATTTGGAACACCAGGTTATAGTTATCAATTTAAATTTGAAAACTTAAACCCCAAGTCATTGGCATACTACTTTTTTTTTTTTTTAAATATTCTTACAGGTAACTGACCCTCCCCAACTATCCACTCTTTCTTCAAATAATGCAATTATTTGTACATTTGTAATACACTAAATATTATGGATGGAAAACATACAGCTACATTATACTAGGATGACTATGAGCTGAAGTGATTAAATTAAATGCTCTAGGAAAAAAAAAAAAAACCAAGGGAAGGATACAAGAGTGATTAAATTTTTATTGAACTTTAACTCCTTCCCATCCACACTGCAAAATTACTGTAACACTTACTGAACAGTTTGAGACTTTAGTTTTCACATTAGCTCCCCTGACATTAATAAGCCTATCCATATGCATAAGATTAAGCATGTATGTAATCAAGTATCACAAACCTTAGTCTAAATATTGAAAATGGACAGCTACTTCTACAGAGGAAATTAAAAAAGCAGAAAGCACACCTACAGACTGAAGACTACTATTGATATCACCTGTACTGCAATAGTCACTATGTTAAAACAACTGCATTAGAAAATAAAACAGGCAAGACCCACCCCTACTAGGCGCCAGTGGATTTAAAGGACGATAGACAGATCGAGGCCTAGAAAATAAGTTAGAAAACACAGAAATCAGTTTTAGGCTAAACTGAAGTGCAAGTATAAGAAACGTGCTTCCTCTCCCTTCCAATTACTTGAAGCAGTTTTCTTCGTAGATGCTGTTCCACACTCTCCAAGCAGAAGGCCCCTTGTATCCAGTGTAACGTTCTGGATTCAGCAGCAAATCCACATACTGTGCATCTGGAGATCTCTCATCTAAATAGGAAACCTTTTGTTACATATTCTAACTGATCAGTTAAAAAAGATTTGATTTTTAAAAAGTCACACAGAATTAAATATAAGTAAGAGGTCTCATATAATACTGTTCTGTCTTCCAGTCGGATTATAAATGTCTTGTACATAAAAATAAAGCAATATACACACTAAATAGAAAGTTCAGAAATATGTAATTTATTCCAAAGTCTCTTGTGTGGCCATAATTTCTACAATGTCTGAACACCTTCTATGCGGCTTCTTCAACTCCACCATAAACACTTGTCATGCAACATGTTCTTTCACCCTATGCTAAGGTATAAACGTCGTTTTGTTTTAAATGGGCTTATTTGTCCAGCAGTATTTGGGTGGGGGGGTGTGCTTTTTTGAAATGGTTATACTGCTACAGTGGCTTCTTAATAAAGACAAGGTCAAAGAAGTGCATCTTGTAGTTGGTACGTATTGTATATTTATTAGCTAAGTTCCCTTTTTCCCCAGATACCCTTGTATAGTGGCAGAACGTCTGGATCACGTTGCTTAAGTGAACAAACGTTCAGCATATTGCAGAACGCTCTGTTGGTTATGGCAAGCACCGTGTTATTTAAGCAGCATTTCAACAAGTTATACCTTCATCTCTAAAGTTCATTACAAATTCAGGCAACATATCCAAAGCAAATTGTGAAACAGTACTCTCTCTGCTTAAAAACTCTGTAGGAATAGAAACTTAAGTTTTGAGCTACAACCAGTAAAATGCAGGAAGAATCCTCTCCTCTTTGAAATTCTAGGTCAAAAAACCCCACATACAATACAAGCCAGTAGTCCAGAGACTTGTTCACAGGAATAGGGCAAGGAGTGCCACTGACTATTTCCTCAGATGTCAAAAAAAGCCACAGAAATGGAGAGTGAAAACAGCTCTAAAAAGAAGAGATGATTCTGCATGAGCAGTTAAGCATCACTTCCGCAGTAGTAGCAAAAACAAAGAAAAGAAACAGACACAAGATGCACAACAACACAGTGAGTGCCAAATGAGACAAAGTCAAATTACAGCTTTATTTCTTTGACAGCATGGCTAACCTAAGCAGTTCCTACACTTCCTGGTCACTTCAGGTCTCCACTTGTTATTCTCGTTATCCACATACAACTGAGTCTGTGGGGCAGTGCAACACAAAGATGGAAAGCTGGCCTTGGTTATGAAGTTTTTTTCAGCTAGATCAATTCCCTTATCTAGTTTATCACTAAGCCCAACAAAAAGCTAGTAAAAAGTAAAACTGATGATACGGTTTCGTGCTACAGTTGAGTGAATTAAGAGCTCTTTCACCACCAGGAAGAGAGAAGAGGAAGAGAACAAGAGTTTCCACCTCCTCCCAGTCACTCCCAGTAGTTCTTCTCTCTCACCTCTCCCTGTTCCAGCTCACAAACTCACCTGATAAGCCAGTTCATCACAACCATCTGGGAGATAGGAGGGAGATGTCAACTTACTTTCCCACTATTCAAGTAAGCTGAACCAGCTTACCACGCAGAAAGATGTACACCAGAGCCAGTGCAAAAAAAAAAAAGCACTGGAAGAACACAGCTGGGGGCAGTACATCCTCCTTCAGCAGGGCATGATGTAAGGAGAGGTGGAGGGAGAATCAGGAACTACTTAAGTTAGTATTACTTCTAAAAGAAATGCTCCTAAACTGTACCTTTCCCAGCTGAGTCCTCTTAAAAATGTAAGCAGGCAACTTGAAGATAGTAGAGACAAAAGCAGCTTATTGAATATAACAGTTCAGATCTACAGCTCACTGCCTATTTATGACAGAAGCAGCTTATATAAAAAATGTTCATACATAGGACGCAGCAAAAGTGCTGAAAGAGAACCACAGTTGGTAAGTCCACTACAGCTGCTACTTTCCCAGGTGACACCAAACATTAGCCTAAAGGTAGATTAAAACATCTTGCATTATGCCCTAAGTCTTCCTAATATAGAAAGCTTTCTAAGGTATTTATTAAAAAGGCCTTTAGCAGTCATTCCTGAACTTGGCAATTCTCATGTTTATCTGAAAAACATTCCTTTGAGCTTTGAATGTTACAAGCAAATAAAGAGACTCACATATGTGGAGCAGAGGGAAGACACAATCTAGTATCCTAATGTTTTAGCAGCAAGAAAGTCCTTACAAACATGGGTGAATTTAGTGCAGAGATCATTTGGAAACATAGCAAGTCTGGAAGAGGAACAAACTCAGTCCAAGCATAGACAGTAGAATAGCAACAAAGATAATATAGCAGTAAGAAACTGACTCAGCTGCAAGTAATTTGTCTTATATTTGTGCTAGATGCAACTCTTGTGAGAAGCTTTTTTTAAAAAATATATGCTAATCCCCTCCCATTTACCTTCTTTTTTATTTCCATAAAAGCCTCCTGCTCACTATACTAACAGGATGTAACAGTGAATGTGCACCGTATAGACTATCAAACGCTCCTTGTAAAAAATTGCATTCTTTGCATGTAAGATGATATGAATTGTCACATCTACATTTAGCACAAAATTAAAACCTTTTAGAAATGGTTATTTGCAGAGAAACTATAATCTTTTGTGTTTTTAAAGAAACAGCAAATAAAACAAACACTCTGAAAAAGCTTAAACATTTTACCATCAAGTTCACAAAAATGATCCTGTGAATCATCGTATCTTGCCCAGTCAATGAAAGCCTCCTTACTTTGGTTACTGAGGGGAAAAAAATACATTTGATTTTAAACTTTTAAACAAACAACATCAATAAGAGCTACTGAAAGAAACACAATCCACACATAGTAGTTAACTTAGAACTGAATTCTGAATTCCTAGATCTGAAACTCAAGAACATATGGAGTTACCCCTTGTTAGCTGCACAGAGATTCAAGTAGGCATCAACCGTAATACTTCAGAAAGTCATCTTAATGTTAGACAGCAAGAAAGATTTCATCATCATTATTGGAACTAACTGTGCAGTGGCAGTGACTTCTCCTTCAATAAGTGCTTGGTAAAATACGTTCATAGCATACATTTTTAACATTTTTCAAAGTACTACTTTAGCAGCTGTCACTATGGGGATGTGTGTGGAATTGTCGTATTTTCGTAACCTGTACTTTCAATGAGATCACAATAGTTGATTTCAGTGAGAGACTGGACATCTAAATGCCCCTTCCAACCTAAATTACTCTATGAATATGATTTGTCTTAAGCCTTTTAAATAATAATGGTATTTCACTCACCCTAGCATTTTCAAAGGTGTACTGTACCAGAGAGACAAGTACTTTGAAGTTCCCACGCTGCGAAACACAAACAGTGCCAAAAGCTGAATGCTTTCTTCTATGCATATGTGCAGCACAGAACTACTGATGCCACACTACTGACAGCAAAACGTAAGCAAATTTGAGACTGGGAACTCTGCTCCAGGGTGCAGTGAAACACCTTGAAATAATAAAAACAACCTATTCTGTTTGATCAAATTAGTACTAGCTCAATTCTACAAACAGAGGCAATTCTGTAACAAGATACATTTCTAAGCTTCTGCCAAATCATAATAGGAGACTTTATACTTGGCATTAGGTGAGGAACTTCTCTAGTAATTACTAGCAGGCAAGATTTGATAATCACAAGAAATACAGCTGATAAAGGAAAATAACCCAAAACCGTGAGGATGATGCACTACTAGGTAGAGAACATGGAGGTCTGCCTACAAAGGACAAACTCTTCCTGCATTTGCAGGATCCATTACCTGCCCTCTCCCAACTTTAATCATCCATCCTACTCTCACAAAAGGCATTCTCTTTAGCTTTTCGTGTGTGTACTCAAACTCATATCCTTTTGACCTGCAGGAGTGGAAGAAAGCTAATGGTTTCTTATTTCCCCTAAAAAACCTTGGATAAGGGCTCTACCCAGTTTGGTTTAAAACACTGCACACCAGGCAGAAGCCATCACTTTTTCATGGCAGTCCCATTTTGTCAGATGACAGGAAAGAGTTTCAACATCTTTATCAGGCAGAACTGCTGAAATCTGTGGCCAAAGACACCACACCTCTCCATCAACCGTGAAGAATTTATTTTTCTATTTCTATTTTTTCAAGGTGGGGAATCTAGTAGAATGCACATTTTTCTAAGTGCTGTTCCCCACACTGTCCTACTCAGGGACAACACCATCCTGCAGAATTCCTCCCACCCAACCTTGACTATGCCATGCAATAAGCAAGATCAGGGAATTGATCCAAGCTAAAAATAACTTTGCCAAAACCAAAATAATTCACAAGCTCCCTGATCTGGTTCACTGAATGATCACAAACAGGCACATCAGTGTAACAGAGGGACAGAGCAGGACAGAATCCCTTAATCCAGCACAGTCATCAAGAACAAAGACTGATACTGGTAAAAAGCAGAAAAAAGGAGGGTTTATTTGCACGTTTCCTCTGACTCTTGATGCTGTAAGATACATCTTTCAAATAATAACGAAGTGGGTTTTTTTAAATTAAAAAAAGAAAGTCTAGTTATCACTTAACACTTTTACCTTCAGATGTTCTTGCATCATTTGACATTTACTTTCTAATGGGCTATGGAAAGAATGAAGAACAAAAACCAGCACATTGCAAAAACAAGACAGACGAAATGCTCCTTTGTTACTATTTTTGTACTATTGTTGTAAATCACAGCATACCTTAAGGTACTGTTAACTGCTCCCAGTTTGTTAGCTTGCTCACAGTCTTCCAATTCTTTGGAATTATTTGCTGCTTTTGAATACTGTAAGAAAGTTCATATTTAATATACAAATGAATGACTTCAAATTCTCTGAGAACAGGTGCTGTGAAAGGTATTTCTAGGTTTAGCAGTGAATTGACTAGTATCAGGGAAAATCCTCAGATTCTAGAAGCAGTAAGTAATTCTGGAACATTTCTTATTTCTATTTTTCTTTACTTAATTTCATCAGGCCAATTTCACTCTGTGGATTTAACTACCACAGAAAATTCAACTAAATATGTCACAATTTTGTTTGTTTTGCTTTTTTTTTTTTTTTGTTTAAATTAAATGGAGTTCTGAAGAGTTTCAGATATTTATTTACATTCTTGTAAAAGGACCTTGGAAGACAAGCAGTGTTACACCTATAAACATACCATGTATTTTGCAAGCATAATCATACCCCATGTTTCGCAGGTCATTTCAGTATCAAAATGTATCAGTTTTGGCCATTTTCCCCATGTTTCATTTAATCCTATTCATTGGCATGCTTTAGGCGTGCACACGTCTGGAAGACAGGCTTTTCAAGATGAACTCAAATTTTGATTATTTTAAAGCCAGAACTGAAGTATGTAAGCTGAACTCTGATTCTACAGTATATTTTAAAAAGTAATCCACTAAAATAGACTTACTATTAGAATACTTCTAAGGAAAACATTGGAAGAATTAAAGATTAAACTCCACTATTCTACAATAACATGGTTCTGTCAGCAGGGTATTTGTTAAGTCTGTCAGCTTAAAGCTCAAAAAAATCCGTCCAACAGTCCTGGAACATAATAGATAGTATCAGTGCTCCCTTAAAAGATAAACAAACCAAATTTCCTCTTTTGGGGGGTTTTTGCGTCCGGATTTTTTTTTTGTGTGTGTGTGTGTGTTTTCATTTGCAGACTGAGCCTTACATTTACACAGATTTCTACCTTATCACAGTCCTTAAGAAATACAGTAAATGATTTAATGTTAAGTAACTGAAAGCTTGTATAAAGCTAAACTGCTGGATTCCCTTCACTTCAGGGTACATACATATTGACATGAAGGATTACTATCCAACAACAGCTCAAAATAAAAACATAAGCTAAAGGCTTTGGTCAACCCTTCAGAAATAGCAAACAACAATAATAATTTTATAAGTTTTAAAAGAAAGAGAATAGTTCATTTCTGAGGACAGACTTGTGGTCAAGATGCCAGAGGCAAAGTACCACCACAATACATACCACAATACTTCTCAAAACAGAAAGTATTTAATTAAAACTGTTCAGATGAGTAAGCAAGACGACTTGCTTTAAAAATGCATTTGCCAGAATCAATACAAAGAAAAATAGCAGAACCTACTGAAGACCAAAGAAGTGAAGAAGATTAAAAAACCCAAATAATTTAAACCTTGTTAGGGGCCTTGCCCATAACAAATATTTACTCTAGAAGGAACTTCTCACTCAATTTTCTTGGATTTGCCAGGTGTGGTGGCTCATTCTTTAGCATCATATGGATGTTAAATGGAAAAATCTGAACAAGGAATGGATCTGACCTAGAATGAAACAGATACTGCTGATGAAATAACATACTGAGATGCTGAAGTAAACATTCTGCATGTCTAGAGTTGCAAACCAATCCCTACCCTGAAGTAAAAAAAATTACTGCAAGCATATAATCCTAAATTTAAGGTTTCAAACAGAATGAACATTCAAGTCTCAAAACATGTTTCCAGGCTTCACTATTCTCCAGTGTTTAACAGCAACAGCTATCGGATCAGTGTTCTGTGACCACTGACTAGATCAGGACTAGATCTGTTCCTGCCAAAGCAGGATCTCCTAAGAGCAGTTTCTGGAAGAAAACAGAAAAGAGGTGGGCAGGAAGTAAAATATTAAGTTAAATGTTGTAACCTTGAGTTACTGCATCCTGTCCCTTGCTTCAAAGATTAATACAGCAGCTGTCATGACAGTTCTTTCATGTCTAGCCCCCCAAAATGTGTTCACCACTCAAATGAAAAAAGACTATAGAAGGCGGAACTCCTTTGTGCCTCTCCAGCACCATTTCAAAAAGCTTATGTTGGTGCTAAGAATTAAAGAGATCCTCTATTGCTAACTGCACCTCTGTGGGGAAGGTGTGCAAGTGTAACCCCGGTCTTCATGGCTAGATGAGCTTTCAAAAGAAGAACTGTTCTCTCTATGGTTCAGCACACAAAAAAAATCCCCCACGATAGCCTAAAACTAGAAGTTTACAAGCTCATCTACATTAGAAGAGAAGGGCAATAGGAAACTGCACAGAAACCAAGCACTTAGACCACAGAAAACCTCTCTACAGAATTTTACCCTGAGTGTATCTACTCAAGAGATATAGCTCTCATTATTAAAAAGATGTCTTTGGTTGTTTTCACCTTTCCAAGGCAGACACTATCAGGATGAAAGACAGAAACAGGACATGTATCTCCCCAGAGGAAAAACACTTTTCTGTTTGGTTTTTTGTTTTGTTTTGTTTTTTTTTTTAAACTAACACTTTAAGGATAATCCACAAGATGCAGGACTTTCCCAAATGGACCAAGCACAGGCTAATAGCACAGTACTTGCATGGTCCTTGAAAGAAAACATTCATACTAAGATATTTGATGTTTCCTTAAAAGGGATATTAAATGAGATTGTAAATTTTTAATTGGCTCCAAGAAAGATCTTTAACTGAATCTTAAGTAGTAAGAAAATGGTGTAGGCGAGATATATGTCAGTCCTGATGACAATTTTCCTGCAGAAATATTTTTTTTTTCTGACAGAGAAGCAGCAGATATTAGTGTCCTTGTTCTACTACAGATTAAAGATGCAGAATTGCCCAACTTTCAGTACTGTTGCTGGTTGCAACAACCTACAAAAAGAAAACAACTACAGCAAATACACCAGCAAACAATAGCTTCCCAAAGAAGCTACCCAATTTCTTTGTTGTGGTGAAAGCAAAAGGTGGCTGATTTTTCACTTCCGAAGTCCAGTTCAACATGCTCATGTGAAGCATCTTAAGAACAGCATACTCTTTGGCTATTCATTATTATTATTGAGTGAACTCAACAGGCAAGTGCAGGTCAACCAGGGTATCAGGCCCAGCCAGCATGGGTTCATGAAAGGCAGGTCCTGCTTGACCAACCTGATCTCCTTTTATGACCTGGTGACCCGCCTGGTGGATGAGGGAAAGGCTGTAGATGTCATTTACCTGGACTTTAGCAAAGCCTTTAACACAGTCTCCCATAGCA